ATCTTATAACACTAGCTCAAAATCCTGTAGCACCAGTTTTTTTTTTGGGACCCAGTTCACGAGCCTCGTTTTCGAATACCGCGCTCCAAAATCGAGTGCCGTCACCGTCGTTGTGGTCGCCCATCCCTCTATTTTAAATTAAAAATTAATTATTTTATCCCCGCACCCCCACTTTAACTTAAAAAAAATAAATTAAAGGGGCATATAAGTCTAATTACCTCAACACAGAATGCAATTATAAATTTAAAACAATAAAGAATCCTCACTTGGCTACAGCTCCCAATATAAGCCTCGCAGCCAACTCACGGTAATACTCGCTTCTGATCACGTTGGCCGAATAGTGACGCTTGGTCATTCTTGGACACCTCCCGTATACAGAAGCCAGATCAGTTGATGTAATAGACACAACACCCTTGTTGGGTGTATTGCGGAAAGCAGATTCCAGATAATGTACAGCTGTGCCGAATGGATCCAAGTGACTACAAATTTGTTTAACAAATGAAATGAAAAAATTAAAATATCAGATTAAATTTTACTAAAAAAATTTTTAGTTTTACCAAGTTAGTATTATAGTTCGCCCTTCAATTCAAGACCACCTTTGGGACCTGAAAATTTGGGGTGGCCTTGGGGTTTCGGTCTCCAATTAAAGCTTAGTTTTGAAAGACTAAAGATTGATAATTGGTTCTTTAAAAAGTTGTCTCAAATCAGAGGGATCTCAAATTAGATGGTAAACTGTATTCATGAATTTGATATTTTTGAGTGCTAAGTATTAGTATCTGCCTGCTTATTAGATATCTCAACAAATTAATCCCATGTTGTATTGTTATTTTCCTTGTTCTCTGATTATTTTGTAAGAAAAGATAAAATCCTGTACACTGCAAATGAAAAAAGTTGAGATTCAAAATAATTACATAAAATCAAATGCTCTTTGCAAAAGGAGGATGTTTGAATCCTGACAAACAATCTCAACTCCATCACTTCCTCTCGTAAGATTTTCATCTTCCCTCCTTGGTTCCTTAGGTGTTTCCGAAAGATTTTCATCATCCTTGCTTGGTTTTCTAGAGAATTTGTCAGATGTATAAACATGGATGCCATTCTCCTGGCAGTTGAAATGCATGTTTTCTACAGCAGCAGGTTTGTTGTCATTCAATGTTATATGCTTCTGGTGGTTTAGATGTTTTTGCCATTGCAAACCAAGAGCACCTAAACAAACAAAATAAAAAGAACAATTCACAAATCTTGGGTCTTACATTTGTATCAGTAGATCTGGGTGTGTTGTTGTCCCATTTTGATTTGAACCGGTAACTGTTCATGTGACACCTGCAACTAAATTGTGAAAAAATAGGCTGTATGTATAGGGTACCTGAGGCGGCAAAAGCATCTAAACATCGAGCAGGTTTTGGGGCATACTCTTTATGTTCATCAAGGTACACAGACAAACCACAAAGTACCAGTTCTCTGAAAAAAAAGAAGAAAAAAAGTAAGTAATTAGTACTAGTAGAGCTGTGCATAGACTATAGTACACTATAGGAAAATTATAGAGCTAATGCTCTACACACACCGCGGCCGAAATGCATGACAAAAATACCAACTCAGGGCCGAAACACGGGGCCGAAGCGACCCGGTGCCGAATCGACTCAGGGCCGAAACGACCTTACACCGCCTAGACTAGGCCTCAAATTAACGAGAGGAGACAGAGTACAGTAGGCCTAGCTTACAATAATAAATACATATGTAAGTAATGTTTACCTATTTATTCTTATTTTTGGATTGAAAAAAACATCTGACTTTTCTGGAGTTTGGTGATCTTCACTGACCCGGAATTTTAGACCGTTTTCTTCTACAACCCTCATCATTAATTTCGTCGTAGACAATTCATAGTACACATGTTGTCATGTTCACACGTTCAAGTTTTCAACTGTTTGGCATGTGCCCTCTCCCGGCGCACAGTGGGCCAGAATCAATTCAAAGTGTGCCAAAAGTCGAAAATAGGTAATGTGACAACTTCAACTTTTAAAGGTTGTTTGAGGTCGAGAACATCCTAAATTATATTAATTCACCAATAATTTCATATTTAGTGAATTTTCATAGTGTGATATAACCATGTAAACATGAAGAAGTTATATTTTACTCGTAAAATGATAAAATTGACAGTTTTGAAAAACTCCCTATGACTTTACTTAGATGAAAGCAGTCAACTTGATACTTCTTGCAGTATTTACCTATTGTTAACTAAATTAGATAGTAAAATAAAAAATGACATTATTAGTATATTTTTAGAATAAAGGACAATAAATATGAGCCAAAAACGCTTAAAAACATTTTTTTCATAAAACCAACTTAAAAGTTAGAATTGCCGGCGATTTTCGTCATGCTTTTGACATCAACATTTCTGGCAGAGCCTAAGCTTCACGTTAATGCCAATGTTTAGCTGCCAATATCTGCCACCCTGCATTTAGCAAGCGATTTAATATACCCCCCCCCCCCTACAAAAGCGCCATTTTCTAAAAGCGCCGTTTTTTAATTAAGGTATACGATAAAATCATTCCAGTCATTGGGTGCCAAATGTAAAAACAAGTACACTCGATTTCCAGGGTCATATCTAGGAGTGAATTGGGGAGGGAGATCATTGGTGGATCTGGAGGGGTCAGGGTCCTGA